TTCTTATTGCTCGAAAACTGATATCTTTGTATAATGTAGCTAAACAATTATCTCAAAATTGCTTAAAACTTATAAATTTCTATTTGGTTGTCAGAACCACCAAACAATATGTCACACAACAGCAAACCACAAAATATTAAAACACGTTGGGAGAACTTTTTTTGTACCTGTTTCATTTTAAAAATTAAAATAATTGATTAATCTATATAAATATAACTTATTTTTACAATTAAAACACATGAAATGATTTTATTCAGGGTTATTTATATTTGGTCTTCACTTTACTGTGCTTCACTGAGATAAATATCATATATGATATCAAATGTTAATTTGTTAATGAAAGAAAAATGTACAACACATTTTTTGAGAATAAATAATTTTTTTATTTATATTTTAGCAATTCAAACACATAAAATAATTATATTCCGGCTTTTTCTTTTTTTAGATTCTGCTTTTAACTATACTCCACATATAATGTTGAAATTGACGTCTGCCATTTATTCATCAATTGCATTTTTACGTATTTCACCACTATGACGTACACGGCGCGGATTGTCATTTTTGACAGGGCACTCCCCTGGTATGGAAGCCATGACTGTATGATATCGTAATAAGCTAAAACTTTGCACAGGTTATTTTTATCGCACAAAAATACCATTCCGAGAGTTTGAAGACATTTCAACGCATAATACGGGTACCTCCCGAACAAAGTTTTGGATTTTTCATACATTTTAAACGATGCGCATTTCGAATAACCAGTATGTGCCATCAGTTTCATAATTTTAACAGAATTTTTTTCCAGAACGAGTGGAAACGATTAACATGGAGAAAATAGGAGAAAACGATTGAAAGCGTCACATTGAAGTGAAACATGCGTCAAAACCATATCTGTCGGATTGTCATTCTCTTTATTGTTTCTTCTTATAAATTACAAAATATTGCTTTTGAGATGAAATATGAATACAATTTGTGCTCATTCTTTCTTTCTAAGCATCCATCAAAGATTTAAATTCTCATAAAAAACATAAAATTCGTGTCAATATTTTTGTGTAAATAATCGAATAGTGTTTGTTTCACAATAATACTAAATATCATTTTATTGTTATATTCTTATGCAATTTCGCTATGAGTAACCCGCAAAAGAAGCCAAAATTGTCACACTCAGATAATCAATATTGTAATCAACATCGTCCATCAAACGACCAATGGAGACGGAGGTCAAAAATATTCAAATTGAACATTGATTGTTTGGACGAAATTTTCGAATATTTGGACGTGCGAGACTTACTCTCATTTGGTCAAACATGCAACCGAATGAACAAAGTGGCCGGCGAATATTTCAAACAAAATTATTTGTCAGCTGAAAAACAATGTGAAATACAAGGAATTTATTTTTCTTTTTACATGGATTATTGGGACAAAAATTATTCTAAAAAATGTTACGTTGAAAAAAATATCGAACTATTCGGTTTCAATAAGTTCATTCAATGTATACCATATAATCACTATAATGATTCACTCCGTTATCTTGAATATATTGAAGAGCATATAAAAGAATTTCAGTCAATTAACCACATTTATCTTCAGGAAATAGATGAAAATTTTGCAGGCTATAAAAATAAAAGACATTTTAAACAACTGTTGCCCAAATTGGAAATTTTGCAACACCGGCATTGTTCGATGGTTGGTGACTTTTATGATTTGGTATTGAAATATTGTGAAAATTTGAGAGAGATTTATATTCAAGATTCGGATGTCGGTAAGCGCATAAATGGTAAACTCAACTGGTTACTTCAAGTATATCCGAAGCTTGAGCGCTTAGAATTGAAGCCTCGTGATTCTAATAAATTTGAAGAGCTACGTGAATTTTTCGTACGCAATCCAAATGTACAGAGATTTTCAATTTTCTCAACATTCTTGTGGGATAACGAAGACATACTTTTAAATTCCAATGCAAAATTGGATATATTGGAAGTCAAAAACTTTAACTCTTTTGAAATCCATTCGTCATATGGGAACCGGACGTCGAAAAGTCTTTTGGAATTATTAAATCGACTCCATGAACAAGGCTTTTATAAGCGACTATATATATACGTCGAAAGTGTTTGTGAAAGATTTAGCACTTTATTAGCCTCACTCAATGGTCTCAAGTTATTGTGCATTGGATGGCTTGACAAGAGTTATAATTTAGCTGAACTCACCAATCTGAGAGAATTAATCATTTTGGGTGGATCGAATACCGTGGATATGGAGATTTTAGCAAATGGCCTAACAAACCTCGAACGTCTTTACATTGATAGAGCTAGTATCGATGACATAATGCCATTCATTCGTCGATCACCGAATTTGAACAAAATCAAATTCATACCACGGGACAAAGGTGTAGTTTTGAATTTGGTGATGTTGAATGCAGAACGTGTCAAGTTAGCCGAAGCACGAAAAGTAACAATTTACACGCGTGATGATGTCTTCTTGGCTACTAAATGGACGATCAGAAACTGTGACACCGATTTGAGCTCCATCGAAATGAGACGAAAGGATTCGATAAAATGGAATGATTATTATAATTATTAAATACAATTTTTAGAAAAGATTTTTGTTTATTCAAATCATCTGATGATATCAATATACAACTTGAATTTTTACAGAATTTCAGATTTATTTTTGAGAAAAAGCTAGATAAGTCTTTGTCGATACTGATGTAATAACTAAAAAGTACAAAAATATTGATTTCATTATAGTCGAAGTAAGTTTTCAAATAAAGAAAAATCAATTCACAAAAAAGCCTTATGAGCGTCTTTTCCTCTTTCAAAATGTAACCTGATGTACAACACACTTAAGTGTTAAATTTGTTGCAAATGGTGACTGATGGCCAATTTTATACAATTACATATGTTAAGAAAAAACTGATGGAAAATACTTTTTTGAATATCTGGAATAAATAATATATAAATATAATGGAAAATGTATCATGTTGTATTATGCGCTACTACATGTAGTTTTAATTTTCACCGATAATCATTCACACAGAATGTGCCATTAGTTTCATGGAAAAACATTTGAAACGAATGGAAACGGTGATCAGAGAAAAAACAGGAAAAATCGATGGAAAACGTCAGTTTAAAGTGAATCGGCGTCAAAACCATATCTGTCCGTTTGTCATTGTCTCTGTTAATTGTTTCATCTTATAAATAACAAAATATTACTTTTGAGATCTTATAAAAGGTAAATACAATTTGTGATCATTCTTTCTTTTTAAGCATCCGAAAGTTTCAATTCTTTTAAAAAAGAAATACGTTTCGAAGCTCGCGTGTAAGTTATCGTAAGTGTTGGTTTTACAAAATACTAATTATCATTTCATTGTTCTTATGCAGTTTCGCTATGAGTTATCCACAAAAGAAGCCAAAATTGTCACACTCACATAACCAAACGGTGGCAGGTCCATCAAACGACGAATCTCCGCCGAAAATATTCAAATTGAACATCGATTGCTTTGACGAGATATTTGAATATTTGAACGTGAAAGATTTGTATTCATTCGGTCAAACATGCAAGCGAATGAACAAAGTGGCCGGCGAATATTTCAAACAAAATCATTCATCGGCTCAAAAACTCTGCCTATATGATGGAATATACACGAAATATTCGAACAAAGATGGTGTTAGTAAACACATTCAAACATCTGGTTTCAATAAGTTCATGCCGTCCGTTTCAATTGAAGTCGTTCCATACAAATATATTAAATCGCACATCACTGAATTTGAATCAACTAAACACATTTATCTTTCGGAGTTATGTATTAATAACGAAACAGTTGAGCATTTTAAACAACTATTGCCCCCACTCGAAATTGTACAACTCGAAGATTGTGCGATGTATGGTGACTTTTACGATTTGATACTGAAATATTGCAAGAATTTGAGAAAGATTTATTTTCAAGATTCATATTTCGGTTTCCAAATAAATGGTAAAACCAACTGGCTACTACAAGAATATCCAAAGCTTGAACGTTTAGAATTGACGCCTGATGATACCAGTCAGATTGAAGAGCTACGTGAATTTTTCGTACGCAATCCAAATGTACAGAGATTTTCAACTAACTCAGAATTTTTGTGGGAGAATGCTGACATATTTTTAAATTCCAATGCAAAATTGGATATTTTGGAACTTAAAAACGTTTTGGTTTATAAGCAGTCTCCGTCATATGTGAAGCAAACGTTCGACTTATTAAATCAACTCCATGAACAAGGCTTCTATAAACGACTATACATTTACTTCAATAATGTTGATGAAGGGGAAAGCATTTCATTGGCCTCACTCAGAGGTCTCGAGCTATTGTCCATTCGGAGTTCTCGCGAGAGTTATAATTTAGCTCAATTGACCAATCTGAGAGAGTTAATCATTTTGGATCCATTGGATGTCAAGGATATGGAGATCTTAGCAAATGGCCTGACAAAACTCGAACGTCTTTACATTGATGAGGCTAGCATCGATGAAATTATACCATTCGTTCGTCGATCACCGAAATTAAACAAAATCAAATTCATACCAAAGTGGAAAGGTGTAGTTTTGAATTTGGCAATGTTGAATGCAGAACGTGCAAAGTTGGCCGGAGCTCTAAAAATAATATTTTATACGCGTGATGATGTTTTCTTGGCTACAAAATGGACGACCAGAAACGGTGACACCAATTTGAGCTTCATTGAAATGAGACGATCGGATTCATTTGAATGGAATCCTCATTATCGTTAATGAAAAAAAGTTGAAGAAGTTTGTCTTTGTCTTACAATTTTCATATTTCACGATACTTTTTCAATTCCAAAAGTGAAATAGTACAGAAGAATTGATTCAATCATAATCTGAGTAAATTTTTGAATAAAGGGAAAACCGAGTTAGTTATGCAAGTCTTTTTCTCTTTCAAAATGTAATTTGATAATATTAAGAAATAAACTCCTGGAAAAATGTTTCATTAAAAATAAAGAATAAACGATTTTATTGGAAAATGTAACATATAGTTTTCATTTTTACTGACAATTATTCACACAGAATATGCCACCAGTTTCATAATTTTAACGAAAATGTTTGAAACGCTTGGAAAAGCGTGGAGCAAATAGGAGAGAACGATTGAAAACGTCAGACTGAAGTGAACAAGCGTCAAAACCATATCTGTTCGATTGTCATTGTCTCTGTTGATTGCTTCTTCTTATAAATAACAAAATATTGCTTTTGAGATCTTATAAAAGGTGAATACAATTCGTGATCATTCTTTCTTTTTTAAGCATTCATTAAAGATTTAAATTATCATAAAAAAACAAATTCATGTCGATGTTTTCGTGTAAATTGTCGAAAAGTGTTTGTTTCAGAAAACACTAATTCACATTTTATTGTTCTATTCTTATGCAGTTTCGCTATGAGTAATCCAAAAGAGAAGCCAACATTTTCACACTCGGATAATCAAAATCATAAAGAAGATTGGGGTGGGTCCATCAAACGACGAATCTCCGCCGAAAATATTCAAATTGACCATCGATTGCTTCGACGAAATATTCGAATATTTGTCGCTGAAGGACTTGCATTCCTTCGGTCAAACATGCAAGCGAATGAACAAAGTGGCCGGCGAATATTACAAACAAAATCATTCATCAGCTCTAAAATACTGCAAAGAAGATGGTATTTACACGTTTTATTACGACATAGATGTCAATCATAAACCAATTCGAATATCCGGTTTCAATAAATTCATGCCATGCATTTCAATTCTGTACAGTGAAAATATCGATTCTCCTTATATTCATTCTCATATCAATGAATTTGAGTCAATAAACCAAATTAAGCTCAGGGCATTAAATATTGACGAAAAATTTGATCTCTTTAAACAATTGTTGTCCCAACTGCAAATTATACAATGCACTGGTTGTTCGGTTGTTGGTGATTTCTACGACTTGATATTGAAATATTGTAAGAATTTGAAGGAGATTCATGTTGAATATTTGGTAGCCGGTAGCCGCATAAATCGTAAACTTAACTGGCTATTACAAAAATATCCCAAGCTTGAACGTTTGACATGTATGCCTTGTGATTCTTATCAATTTAAAGAGATACGTGAATTTTTCGTACGCAATCCAAATGTACAGAGATTTTCAACTTCTGCCGAATCCTGGTGCAAGAATGGTGACATATTTCTGAATTCTAACGTAAAGTTGGATATATTGGAACTAAAAAGATCTCGCATTCGTTATTGGTTGCAACCACATGGAAAGAAAACGTCGGAAACTTCATTTGAATTATTAAATCAACTCCATGAACAAGGCTTTTATAAGCGACTATACATTTATATCCGTAGATTGAGTGGAAAGCGTATCACTCAATTAGCTACGTTCAAAGGTCTCGAGTTATTGTGCATTCTTCTATTCGACAAGAGTTATAATTTAGCTCAATTGACCAATCTGAGAGAATTAATCATTTTGGATGGATCGAGAGCTCCAAAGGATATGGAGATTTTAGCAAATGGCCTGATAAAACTCGAACGTTTTTATATTGATAATGGTAGCATCGATAACATAATGCCATTCATTCGTCGATCACCGAAATTGAACAAAATCAAATTTTTACCACGAAACAAGGGTGTAATTTTGAATTTGACAATGTTGAATAGTGAACGTGCCAAGTTGGTTGGAGCACGAAAAATAATAATTTATACGCGAGATGATGTCTTTTTGGCCACTAAATGGACGACCAGAAACGGTGACACCAATTTGAGCTTCATCGAAATGAGACGAGCTGATTCGATTGAATGGAATCATAATTATTAGCAAATGAATTGTGGCTGTTGTAGAAAGGCACATTTCGCATTTATATTTTTGATTAAATTACTACTTTTCCATATATTTCTTTCTATGATAAAAATCAAATCGAAAATCTTCATATAAATAAAGTGATTCATACCATTGTAATAATATTATCATATGATTATTATTTTTTAATAAATCAAAACTTTAAACCTTACAATCAAACCTTACACGTCAATTTTCTTTTAATGAAATGTCTAATCTATTCAAAGGAAACGTCAAATTTTTATCTGTCATCCTCTTTGTGTTTTGTTTATTTGACAAAACTTATTATACTTGTCAAAACCACTGGAAACTTTATATAATGCAGCTGTCATCGATTGTTTATAAAGGTTGGCCTCATTACATCGTAATCACGTAGTTTTCACTTTAAAGTTTCATTGAAATTGGCTTTTCGTGTAAGTATAAGTGGTAAAGCGAATTATTCTCTAAAATATTTATCAATCTATTTTTTCATCAAGCCATCGTTACTTGTTACTATGAGTCATCAACCAAAAAGGCAAAGAAGTTCTCATCCAAACAATCAGAATCGTAATGACGATGCGATCGCGGGTCCGTCGAATATGGAAATATCGCCAAACATATTTAAGCTGAACATCGATTGTTTTGACGAATTATTTGAATATTTGTCGCTGAAAGACTTGCACTCATTCGGTCAAACATGCAAGCTAATGAACAGAGTGGCCGGCGAGTATTTCAAGCAAAATTATTCATCGGCTCCAAAATACTGCAACAAAGATGGAATTTACATGATTTATTCGAACAAAGATGGTGTCGTATCAGAAGTAACTCAAGTACCAGAATTTAATCAGTTCACTAAATGTATTATATTTAAATTTCATGAATACTTTGGCCAATTGATGGAGGACTTTTTTACACATTCTGTTGAAGCTTCACGCGCTTCAAACGAAGCGCTTCATTATGCTGAATCTCATATCAGTGAATTTAAGTCAGTTGATCACATAACGTTGAAGCGATTCGGTAAAATAAATCAACAAACAATTAAATTTATCGAACATTTTTTGCCTCAATTGGAAAGTGTAAAAATCAATACATCGAAGATAACATGTAATTTGTACGAAGCGATGCTCAAAAACTGTCACAATTTGAAGAAGATTTATGTTCAAAAATCGTCCATGATTGATAATAGCTGGATTTCACAAGAGTATCCCAAGCTTGAACATTTTGAACTTTTGGACGACAATCAACATCAATATAATGAACTAGGTGAATTTTTTGAACGTAATCCAAATCTCCAGACGTTTTCAATTAATTTTCGCATTTTATGGAAAAGTCGTGAAATTTTTTTAAATTCGAAAATAAAATTGAATATATTGGTACTAAAGATCGTAGGTGGTGATACATATAGTGGCGGACATTTGAATCAATTTGAGGACTTATTAAATCAACTCTATGAACAAGGGTTCTATAAAGAATTGCATTTTTATAATAATGATAAAGATAACGCATACGCATATAGTGATTCCTTGACTTCGTTCAAAGAGCTCAAACTATTGTGCATTGAAACATTTGATCAACGCTTTAATTTGCCCCAATTGATCAATCTGACTGAATTATCGTTCGAATATCTACGTGAATAGAATGTCAAGGATTTTGAATTTATAGCAAGTAGTCTCGTGAAACTTGAACGTCTTTACATTGGTAACTGTGAAAGCATGCATGTTATTATGCCATTCATTCGTCGATCACGAAAATTGAAAAAAATCAAAGTGACACGATGGTTAGAAGGCGAAGTTCTGAATTTGCCAATGTTGAATGAAGAACGCGCTAAATTGGCCAAAGCACAGAAAATAACGTTTTATGTGCGTGACGATGTCTTCTTGGCTACTAAATGGGCAACCAGAAACGGTGACACGATTTTGAGCTCCATCGAAATGAAACGAGCTGATTCGTTAAAACGGCATTATTCTTATTGAATACAATTTTTGAAAATGCAAATATTCATGTGTGCCAATTCGTTTTAATGGATCTTTCCCGTATAATAAGTTTTTTTTCTGAAATATAAATTTAATAATTCAAACTTTCTTTAATTCAATCGCAAATGTACCTAAATAATGTACAGATTTACATTTTGCAGAAACAAATTACAATTGTAACGAAGCATTACAGTAACGTCATTACAATTGTAACGTTAGATTCTAGCATTACCAGTAATAGCTATTGCTATTCTTATAACATTGCTGGCAATGCTTCGTTACAATAATAATGTGTTACTCAACGCTTCCGCTAACGTCAAAAATCTAACATTAATAATAAGACTTTTCAATACAACTTTAAGTCGGAAATATATTTACAATAGATGGCGTCTGTGTCTGCTCTAAGCTCATCATTGAAGTTTTTCATCAACCCAATCAATTTCAATGCTGAGCTTGGAGCAGACTCAAGCTCCATCTATTGTAAATATATTTTCAACTTAAAGTTTATGTTGAAAAGTCTCAATATTAATGTTAGATTTTTAACAATACGGGTAACACATTGTTATTGTCACAAGACATTATCGGTATTAGGTATTGAAATTGTTAGATGTTAGCATTACATTAAAAGCTATTATAATTTTATTAACTATTACAGACGTTTATGTTAATGTAATGGTTAGTAACATTACAATTTCAATGCTGGTAAATCTGTAAATAATGTGTGGACGTTTTTTTACTATTTACTTATTTTCTATTATTTTCATATTGTAAGATTTTAGACGGTTTTATATTGTAAGATTTGAAAAAAAAAATGGAAATAAAATCTTTTATAATCAATCAAAATGAGTTGAATTTATGGCAGACCTTTGAATCAAGGGAAATAAAAAAGTGTTTTTTATTTTAGGATCGACTTGGACCCCAGCGACTATTTTCGCAATAATGTTTCAAACTTGAGCTAAAAAAAATCTATGCCTATGATATCCAGTCATCTCTAATATTAGAACAACTGACGTCAGGAACATCAATTTCTTTACAAGAGAATTGACTCACTTTCAAAAACTTGGAAACACACACACAAATAAATTAAAATATTGCATCAGATTGAGAACTTTCTGAGAAATGTTTTTCTTACTTATTCAGTGAATCATTAAATTGCGTTGGGTCACAGTATTGTATTTATTTGATTTCATATGATTCGATGAATTCGACATCACCGCGATGTATTACACAGATATACACACTGACTCCGGTTCTGTTACTTCGTATGTGTTGTAAATTAGGGTAGGTCAATTGATCCATTTCCACGGAAAACCACCATTTTCACCATGAACATGTGTCATACGATAGAGGACATCGCCGATAGTTACTGTTTTCTTGGCTGTTTTTCTCATGTTCATGCAATTTACATAATTGGTACCGAAATATACAGTAATATAATTGCGTAAATCATATTTTCAAACCATTTTTTTGTCTATTCAGAGGAATTGCGCGAATATAATTTCACAAAAAAAAATGAAAACGAACAATAATAAAGAGTCTTACGGGAGTAAGAAAGTTCAAAATAATATTTTTTCGATTTTTCAAGCCTTTCAAGCGGCGTAAAGTTTGAGGCCAAAAAATATGTTTCAATTTTGGCAACAAAATATTCTTTAATTTAATAGCAGAAGTACTCGAGGAAAGATTTTCAGAAATTATTTTTGAAACACTTTTCATAACTAAAGTCACAAAAAATTTGGATTTTTGTATGGGAGCCATGTCTGTATGCTACCTTAATGGTGCGAAACTTTGCACAGGTTGTTTTTCACAAAACATTCGGTGGGTTTGGAGAAATTTCAACCAAAATTAAGAGTACTTACCATGAAAACTTTGTATGAGAGGTACCCCTAATTTTGATTGAAATCTCTCAAACTTTCAGAATGTTATTTTTTGTGTAAAAAATAGACTGTGCAAAGTTTCACGTCATTAAGGTAGCATACAGGCATGGCTCCCATACAAAAATTCAACTTTTTTGTGATTTTTTCAAAGAAACTGTATCAAAAATTGATTGTATCTCAAAACTAACCTCGGATTCGGTTTTCTCGTACCAAAAAACCCCCCAATACATATTTTTGAGTGTTTAAGTCTACATTAAGTATGACTTTTGGACGAAAATTGGACTCTTTTTCATAGGTATCACTACAGGCATGACATTTTTTTCCATCAACCAAAGTCGCTCAAAAGCTAATGATTTCTATTCCTCGGGACCCCCAATCATCCTTTTAAGTCAGATTTTGTATTACCTTGGTCCTGTCACTCACTATTACTTTTCCGCACACCTAGTGTAGGGAAGGTATTGTATTAGGCCAAAAAATTAAAGTCATCTCAAAACATGTTTTCTATGCATATTTAATGTAGAAAACACGATTGGAGATGATTTTGGGGCATATTAATGTGCATCGCTGTGTGTGATGTGTCCTGTGTCCTGTGGCGTGTTGCCAAAATTTGTTAACTCGATAAATCTTCTTCCAAAAACTCAATTCAAATTCTGACTTTGCAGGATGATTTGGGACTACTAGGAGACGTGCTGATTAGTTTTTGATCAATATCTGTTGACCGGTGTAATTTTTTTTGGTCCGAATGGACACAATCCATACATTTTACTTTTTTGATCATTTTTCAACCATTTTGGTGACACGATGGTTTCGTGCTCAGACATGAAATTCAAAATCTGACTTTACGGGATGATTGGGCATTACGAGGAATAGATCTGGTCAAATTTTCAACGACATTGATTGATCGATGTAAAACTTAGACTCTGAAGAGGCACTTATGAGAAAAATGCCTTAAAATGATATTCTTTCAATTTAAACGCTGAAAGAATGTGTAGTGGGGGGTTTTTTGGCACGAGAAACCCGAATCTGATGTTAGTTTTAAGATGCAATCAGTTTTTCACAGACTTTTCATACAAAAATCCACAAAAAATTTCATTTTTGTATGAAAGACATGCCTTTGTGGTACCGTAATGATGTGACACTTTCAACAGGCTATTTTGTTTGATTGAAATTTCTTTAAACTTGGTGTGATTATTTATTTTGATAAGAAAATAATATTCACAAGTTTTCACGGTAATTTAAGTTACTGCAACCATACATAGACCATCATTTCTGTTTATTCCCAAAATTTCGGTTCCATGCGGAAAAGTCAGCTTGCATACGTAAGCCTCTTTATATATTATGTCATTTGTCAATAAATTGCGATGTTAAGAAATCAGAGAAGTTCACAAAAGATTGTGTCGTGTTTCTTTACTTTCTTTCATTTATATTGCCATTGAAAGCTTTTCAATCGAAGAAAAATTGATTCGTGATATTTCTATCGGGTAAATATATTCGTAAAGTGGTTGTTCTTTGAAAATATTAATCATGATATTTTATTTCTTCATTATCCAGTGAATCTACGTCACATATGGGTAATAAACAATGTCCATCAAGTACGGAGTCGTCACAAATATTTAAATTGAAAATCGATTGCTTTGACGAGATATTTGAATATTTGTCGCTGAAAGATTTGCATTCATTCAGTCAGACATGCAGGCGAATGAACAAAGTGGCCGGCCAATATTTCAAACAAAATTATTCATCGGCTGAAATATTATGCCAAAAAGATGGAATACACATGTATAATTCGGACAATGACGGTGCTAAAAGTGAACGCTTTCCAACATCTGGTTTCAATAAGTTCTTGCCGTGCATTACACTTTATGATCGTAAACTCGGTCCTCTCAAATATATTAAATCGCACATAAATGAATTTGAGTCAACTAACCACATTTGTCTTGAGCATCTACGTATTAATAGCAAACGAGTTAAGTATTTTAAACAATTGTTGCCCCAACTGGAAATTCTACAACTCAGATTTTGTTCGATGGACGGTGACTTTTACGATTTGATATTGAAACATTGTAAGAATTGAGAGAGATTTTTGTTCAAAAATCGGATGTTAGTAGTCGCATAAAGGGCAAAATCAACTGGCTATTACAAGAATATCCAAAGCTTGAACGTTTCGAATTGATGCCTAATTATTCTTACCAATTTGGAGAGCTTCGTGAATTTTTCGTAAGCAATTCAAATATACAGAGGTTTTCAATTACAATACAATTTTTGTTGGATAATGCTGATATACTTTTAAATTCCAATGTAAAATTTGATACATTCGAAATAAAAGAATTTTATATTTATGCGCGGCCTTCGTCATGCGGGAACCAGCCGTTGATAACTCCTGTAGAATTATTAAATCGACTCCATGAACAAGGCTTTTATAAGCGGCTATACATTTTCACCAATGAAGAGAAGAGAAGAGCACTTCATTTGCCTCACTTAAAGGTCTCGAGTTATTGTCCATTGGACAGTTTGAAAAGATTTATAGTTTAGCTGAACTGACCAATCTGAGAGAATTAATCATTCGAGGTGGATGTTCGGTCCAAGGCTTCTCCAATGATATGGAGATTTTAGCAAATGGCCTGAAAAAACTCGAACGTCTTTACACCCTTTCGGCTAGCATCGATGACATCACGCCATTCATTCGTCGATCACCGAAATTGAACAAAATCAAATTCATACCATGGGACGAAGATGTAGTTTTGAATTTGGCAATGTTGAATGCAGAACGTGCCAAATTGGCCGGAGCACGAAAAATAATAATTTATACGGATGATGATGCCTTCTTGGCTACTAAATGGACGGCCAGAAACGATGACACCAATTTGAGCTTTATCGAAATGAGACGAAAAGGTTCGTATGAATGGAACCATCGGTATTACTAGGATGTTAATTTAGATGAACACAGTTCATTCAAATATTTACGATTGATTCGTAAAAAAATACGATCGATAAGGTTTTTATGTATTTTTCTAAAGTTTATATACAAAATATAATGAATAAATTGAAAAATACCAATTTATATATTACATGACAATTTATTCATAATTAGCACTTTTCAAGCTTCACGCCGTTCAAATATAAATTTATTTTTCCTCCCTCTTCTGTTTGGCATTCATTTCTTTTCTGAAGTAAGTTAATGTGAACGCCATTAAGCTTCTGTATTGGTGCGCAAATTTCAAATTTATTAATAATTTCCATCAAGTAACTAACGTTCATGTACGTCATTTTCGATTGAAATAAATGTGAATTATTCCAAGTCTCATCAGAAAATATTTCGCGTGTAAGCACATCAACTTATTATAAATTTTAATTTATGTGCAGAGCACCTTATATACCGGTCTTTGTGATAACATCTCTGAGGAACAAAAAAATACTTGAAAATGTAAAAAGACACCATCTGTGCAAATATTTATTAATTGTATTCCATACAATTAGAAAAAATTGGAATTAAATTTGGTGAAAGAAGATTTATTCTATTTCATCATGTAATGACAAAGAGAGACCGCATCATCATTTTTTACCTTTTTGAATTTTACATAATTCTACACTCTTTATTTTTTTTCAATAGCTTCTTTGGTGCGGGCTTTTTTGTTATTTTAGAAACTGGTCGCTTCATTGTTGCACCCGAAGTTGATGGTCCTTTGGACGTCTTGGAAGGTTGTGGTCTTTTGGACGTCTTAGAAGAGAATGATTTTTTTGGTGGCTCAGAAGATGATGGTTCTTTTGGTGGCTCAGAAGATGATGGTTCTTTTGGTGGCTCAGAAGGTAATGGCTCTGAAGATGATGGCTCTTCTTGACCTGATTGTTCCGGCGAGGCTGGTTCCACAACGCCTTCACCAACAGTTTCATATAATGTGGTCAATTGTTTTAATGTATCTGGAGACAAGGGCTCTTTGAATTCATGGTGTGTCTGAATCTCTTCATCTGTTTTATCGTTACCCAAAATCTTGGATATAATTTCCTTTAGCTTGGTGGCAAAATAGCTTGACGCTTTTTCTTCATTTTTGTTTGAGGTTTCTCCAACATGTTCTTCAAGGTATGTACCATCCCCGCTGACAATTGCGTGGTATAATTCCTGCACAAATCGAAGATCTTCTTCGGATGTTGGTTTGACTTCATGGAATGCTTCAATCTCTTCATCTGAAGGGGGTAAGAGATTGTAAAGTAGAGAACCTGGCCTTACAGTTCTATCGCCGTTTCCGCCAGCACGTACTTCGGCTATTAGAAGCTTTGTGTAAAAATTAAAATTTTAAGTTAAAAATGAATTTATTCATTTTCTGAATAATAAGTTTACTTACTCCAACGACTCCAATGAAAAATAATATGGTAAATTTGGAATTCATCTTTTTTCGGTGGGTCGGTTTAAAAATTCTTGAACTTCTGCTACACAAAGTTGCGGATTTACTAATAATTTTCCATGAAGTGACTTTCGTTTATATACGTTATTTTCGGAGAAGTAATAAGTGACATTTTCCATTTTTTGTCAGAAAATATTCCACGTGTAACTGTATATATACAGTAGATAAGTATTTAAGTCTTTGGTAAACATTCCTCAATTTACAAAATATACCGATCACGCTGTATGTACGCTCCCCAGAAACAATGAAATAATGAATATTATAACTGTTAAAACACCATCTGTATGAATAACAAGCGATATTATTCATCAATAATACACATTACACATACAAGTTTGGAATTTTTTCAATTTTTGTTCAAGAATAATCATTCGGTTTTTGATCTATAACAAGTAAACGGATACTTCTTTGTGGTGTCATAAATTTAGAAGGAAAGAACCATTTTCTCTACAAAAACTGAATGTTTTAATTGGAAACTGAAATTTACAAATGCATTGAACTTGATTACAAAAGAGTGACGCTCTCCTTAATCTAGAAAACTTCCAAGTTTCCTTGCGAGTCGGTGGCAACATTGGTATGAAAAAAAAAAAAAAATACAAACATGGTATTTTTCATATGTTTCATCAAATCGGATGGGGCAGCTCAAAACCATATACTTTTTATTTTTTGGGCTAGTCTAATATCATATACATTTTTTGAGAAAAATATTTTCAAATAAAAAGATATGACTGGGAGAACTTTAAATTGTTTGGGCGAAATGTAGGATCGATTTAGCAAAGTAAAAACCTCGAGAACAAAATTACAACTTAAAATATAAAAAGAAATGTTTATTTGAATCGCTTCTATAACGTCAACAAAACTGTTTATTCCATATATTGAAAACTATGTAGAAAATTGTGTGCTATCTAAATGCCACTATATGTAAATCTCTTATTTGCATACACACTTGTAAAACAAACTGTTAGCACTCAATCCGTCGTTAATTTTTAACACAGAAAATGAGCAAAAATACGAGATAAATTTTTTTGAAATCGAATTATTTCAATCCATTTCTTAAGAATATATTGGTATAACGGTTGGGAGTGTGCGTACAATGACCCTTAACCTCATATTACATACTCAAACCTTAAGCAATAAAAAACCAGTTTTTGGTCTGGATCGAGTATAACAAAAAGCATTTAAATAAAGCAGAAAGTCAGAAGTATCCTATGTTCCATTGAGAGCAGATTACTAGTGGATATATCGCGAAGCTCTTACGTTTTCTGCCCAAAAAGTGTTTTTTTTTTTCAATTTAATTTTGTTTGCACGCAGTGAAGAATAAAGTTTTTACTGCGAAGATGACGAAAATTAAATATTTATTTATTTCATTATTTTTGTGTGTCAAAGTGCGAGCTATTTGTAACGATTTTGATGTAAACGAAGAGCTGATAACTGCTGCTGCACAAGGTTTTTATTTTCACAACACTTATTCAGAAAGATTTTCAATGAAATCAAATCACACTACCTTCCATTTCATCTAGGTAATGCTGAAGCAATAAAAATGTTAATCGATCGAGGCACAAATGTGAATGCAGTAGATTATGCGAACAGAAGTGCGCTTCATATAGTAGCGGCAATGAATGGTAGGAAATTCAAAAGGAAATGTTTACGATGCAATTTAAACTAATCAATTGTCATGCTTTCTAGAGAAAACAGAAGTAGTCACAATTCTAATCGAACTTGGAGCCAATGTAAATGTTGAAGATAAATACAAAAATACACAGCTCATCCGTGCTGTTGCGAAAAGTGCTTCACTATGCTTATAAGAAAAATGATAATTATGCGCCTGATAAAGTTGTAGCTTTTTAGGAATTTTGGGAAGCCTTTTTGTACTATTCTATTTAGATGACATGGAAGTGGTAAAATACCTTATTGAACATAAAGCAAATGTAAATGCCGAAGATGAAAACAAACGGAAGGTGACTCAACAGCCGACTGGGGTAAGTCTACAACTTCAATGTTGGGAAGACATATTTTTTAACTAAGTTTAATCACGCAAACGTTCATTAGACTTTCTAGACGATGAAGAAATATCCAAATATTTAAATGAATTTAAAGGTGGCGAGTGAGCGGTGAGATTCGTTCGCTCACTTATCAATACGAGCTCCAATTGATGAAATAATCCTTCATCTTATAATTAAAATATGTTGTTTTACTCGAATGAAAATTAAAGTGACTTAAAATTTAATTGAAATCAAAAACGCAGTATATTTTTGTTTTGGATGAAGTTTTTGTTGGAAATAAATTTCTTCAATTTTCAATTCGTTTTTTTTTGTCTATAGAATAGTATCAAACGATACGAGACTAGAAAGCTTTTGGTTTCCTTGAAAGTCCCAACCAGACTTCTTAAATCCAACGCAAATCGAATGGTCTATATAAATTGTTTTTACGACTTTTTTAAAGAAAATTTTGACGATTGCACTGTAAGAAGCATACATGAGCACCTTTGCTCTGGGCTCTAAGCCCGGATAACCCCCTCTTAAATCGTCCGAGGTAACCCGGTAAGCAAGTGTGTTTTCGCTAGTTTTTTTTTTTCGATTTACTAAGCTTTTTCAGTAAGAAAGTGAAGACCTTCATTTTTGTGCGGGATAATTTACAAGGGGTTTTTGATTGGCAGATTGGATTATTGGATTAAACGGGGAGTTATTCACTTCGATGCTCAAG